GTGCATAGTTGTAGTTATTGTTGTTGTTGCTGTTGTCGTTGACTTGGCGCTTAAGGTCAGTGTCATATTTGGTCATTTGTTAGTGTCTGTATCTCTGTTTGTGTTTTGGCAAAAGTTTCGCTTCTCATTAATTTTAACTTTTCTGTTTTTGTTTTTTGTTTTTGTTGCTATTTCTACGGAAACTTTTAACATTAGGTTGGCAAACCAATTAATTTGGCAAAAACACGTGAATTTCAAATGAGCCAACTCATGACCAAATGTAGGTCTAGGAATGGCGTCAGTTGTTTAGGTGAGACTTTTCTTAATTGCAATTTCAGCTGTCCACTCCAAGGGGGTTTCTAAATTTCACCAATGATTCGATTTTACAGCACCAAGTGCAGTTTATTGGTAACTAAGATTTGCAGCAAAAGTCTCTAAAGTCTTTTTGACACCTATTAGAACAAGAGATAGACAGTGTCCTTAATTTTTATGTGATAAGTTTTTTAAGCAAATACAAATATATATTTCAATGAAGCAATCCAGACATGTAGGAGAGAGTTAAACTGAAACTAAACTGTTCAGTACATGCTGTTCTGTTCGAGGATTAGAGGCAGTCAAATGAGGAAGAAGAAGAAGCGTTAATTGTTAAAGACAAGTAGAAGAATAAATAATAATAGTCAGTTTGAGTGTATTGTTTATCTAATGGAGAACTTCACTTACGTATGTCCTTGTTCCTACAGAGATATGTGCTATACTATACGTGTACTACTTGTATATATTCATTTACGCGTATAGACTTCAATTTTATAATTTTTTTAAATCATATTAAAAAAAAAAAAAGTACAGACGAATTGATAACGTCATCCTTTTTTGAATTCGGTTAAAAAGGGGAAATTGAGTAACTTAACAAAAAATTAAATTCGTTCAATAAAGTATCTAAGAATAATAAGCTAATAATAATAATAATAATAATAAGCTTTTTATTTTCCTTTACAGGCTTTTCTTTTATACAGAATTGAGTACTACTCCTAATTCCATAGTTTTTTCTTCTTTAAAAATCACTTCAACATTTCCACTGCCGTTTTAGGTAACCCATTGCTGAGATTTCAAGCATCATCTGTCTTGCTTTTTTTTATAACTTTGCGCGAACCCTCAGCTTGTCCAAAACTGTCAATCAAACGGCAAAGCCGCTAGATATTTGAATTTAACTGAAAACTGAAGGCAAATTGATGGCCGCACACCTTAAATTTTTTCAGGCAGTGCCCCAAAAAAGAAGCATTTTGTTGTTGCTTTAATCAGATGGCAGTGCGCATTAATCTTGCGGGCTTTTAATGCGCACCGAGACCCCATAACCCACAGAGTCTAGAGTCCATTCTAGAGCACATTCATGCTGTTGTCGTTTCATTTCGTTACAAATCGTGTGCATTAGCATTATTATGCAATACATAGAGCATCTATATATGTACATATATTTATATTGGGTGGGTAATCAAAGCATAGCACGAACAAAGAGCGCCCAAACACGCAAATATTTGCATTTTTAATTAATTTAATTTAATTTTTAACAAACGCAACGAAGGAAATATATTCAATGTTCGTTGTTGCCTGTCCTCTTGAATATTTTGTTCTTGAACTTCTCGCCCATTAATTTGTATATACACATGTATGGCTGGCTGGCTGGCTGACTGGCTAGGTATAAATGTTTGTGCATGTTTGTAGTTGTGTGTCTGTGTGTTTTTTGCCATGTTTTTATTGCTCAACAAAATGTTTTTCTCGTTGCCAGCGTCGACGTTGTTGGGCGTGTGCCCAGAGAATGAGTCTAAAAATCGAGCGAAACATACGATATTTGGCCAAAGTACACGTGCTGGCGCCCTCTTCCCCCACCCCCCCACTCCGAACACACACACACAGGCTGGCATGCGTGGCCAGCAACGAACCGCACCCAAGCAGCCAACCTTATTAGCTTTTAGTGCCCACCATTTTGGCTTAATCCTTTTTAACCAAGCCAGCAACTTATTAACAAATTCTCTCACCACTTTGTAGGGTGGGGTATAGCCCGTATAGCCCGTTAGGACGTGTTCGTCCGATTATTGCGGCCTTAACCATATTTATGGTCAATAAAAAGCAACTTAATTTTAGCTTTTTTCTACGCTTCCTCGCCAAGATATAGCTCAGAACGATCGACTGTTGATCGTTGACCAACACTTTTCAGAGATTAGATTTCGCTTTTGTTCATTTTTGTCAGCTTACCAATTCGCCAATATAATCCCAAATTGCACACAGAGGATGTTATGAGTAATTAATTGCACAATTTTATTGATTATTTATAGCCCCCGATTACTATAATGGCGCCTACAAATGTACAATGAGTTTTGTAATACTATCAAGTCTAAGCATAAACAAAGCTCTTTGTTCATATAATATGTGGCACTGAAAAGCAAATTTATTGTTTGTCCATATTAAGGGGAATATAGCTAAATTATATATTCGACTTTATGTTGGCTGCCGATAATTTCTCGTTGCTGCAAATAGGCATACATTAATTAATCAAAGATGTTGTTTGAACTAGTTGACTCAACATCTATAAAATATTTGAAATGATTATTAAAATACAATTACAATGAAAGAGAATTCGATTTTTGTTCTCTGTATTAAAATGTTCAAACTAAACGCCCTTTTGTCATCGTTTAATGTCGGCCTGAGTATAAAATTCTGATTATTTCTATGGATTTTGATTTTATGCACTAAAATTTGTGGTTGTATTGCACATTTTTATAACGGCAATTTAAATTGAAATAAATAAGGTCAGCTTTGTGGAATTTTACAGATATTGGTGCTCATAAATGATCCGATAAATGGCATTGGCTATAGCTTCTTCTTCTACAAAAGTATTATAAAATAGCCAAATTTATTTAGCTGATTGGACATTGCATTGAGTGGGTTAAAAACATACAACCATATTTATTATTTATATATTCAACATTTTTTGATATGTTGCTTGTGACAAACGTCACTTTTTGAGCATTTCTTGTTTGATTAGCCGCCTCAGCAACTGAAACATTTCAAGCCAAAAAGAAAACTATTTTTATATCAAATAAACGTCACACAGCACGCACACTTATACATAGATAGGGAATCTTTGAAACGTTTACATTTATAATGAAATAAATTTTGGCAAAGAAATTCATATATACATATATATAGTCATATCTTCATCTGTATCTACAAGAACAACAATACGCCCCTGAGGTCTCTGAATCTCTGATTGACCAACCAAGTCATAAATAAAATAATCAGTTGTCAACTGGGAGAGAGAAAGACAGAGAGAGTAGCAAATTATTGTTGAATTTTTACTTTTTTTCTCAGCGCTGTCTGTTTGTGGAATTCGCTTTAAGGGGCGCATGTAAACATACATATATCTATGTATTAAAATATACATATATCGGTATATACATATGTACATATACTACACATATGTATATGTACATATATGTAGTGTCTGTATGTGTCTACACGCGCCTCTATGTATGCGGGCACTTATAAACTAAATTAAATAAAATATACAAAACTGTCGTGTTGTATTTTAAATCTTGCTATAAAATAAGCGCACAATGCTGAGCGTCGGTCAGAAATATCAGCAGCAACAACAATAACAAAAACAGCTAAGCAACAAATGGCAGACAATGAGCGACAACAGCAACAAATTAATCTTTTCACTTGCTTACATTTATCATTTTTGTTGAATTTAATTCAATTGCGCCAACGACTGACGACCGACGTCGACAGAGCCTGCATGTATAGTTGTTGTTGTTGTTATTGCTATTGTTGTTATTATTGTAATTGTACTCTTTGCCTGCGTTTAGTTGAACCAACGGTGCCTGGCTCCAAACTACAGTAATAACAACACCAACAACATAACGGACAGCAATCAAAAGCAAACTCGTTGAGCTCTCTTAAGATGTACTTTGTTATTGTTGGCGTCATTGTTGTTGTTGTTGCAAGTGCAGCTAATTGAGCTGATTATGAATGACTCTGTGGAATGTTCTCAATGAGCAGACAAATCTGAGACGGAGAGTGGACAAAGAGTGGCCCTCTCAATTAAAAAAAAGGACCTGCAGCCACCCTAGACAACGTTGACTACGAACGAGACGCCACACAGTGGGATAAACATTGTTTTCATGAAGAAGGAGGATAACAAAGTAGGAATTCAGGTATTTATAGTTGGCATAAACTATATAAAAAAAACTATATAGCCATCTGCCTATGACAGCCACTTATTAATCAGATACCTAAATTTTGCTTCGACTATTCTAATTCTGTTTAAAAATCAAATTTGTTCGTTTTCAATTATTTGAAAACACTCCGCTAATTTTTTAATAAATATGAATCAACTACTTGTTCTAAATGCATCATTATTTATAACTACTATATTTATGGCCTTATTATAACAAATTTTGGTAATTGGTGTAGCAGATAGGTGATTATTAATAAATCAAAACATATGTATATAAAATAATTTACGAAAATGTATAGAATCGTACCACAATGTGCTTCGTTCATGACAAACTACTTATATTGTGTGTGTATGTAACGGTAAAATATTTCTATTGTCATTACAATTTTGATGAATTGAAGTTGGGCGGGTTATTAACTACAGTTGTGTGACGAATGGCGATAGGGAGCGAGAGAGGAGAAAGAACTGAACAATATGCCAGCATTATAAACAATCAAAATGCAGCTCGCGACCCTCATTCGAGCAGCCAAGCAGAGCAGAGCAACAGCAGAGGTAGTTGCAGCAACAACACACCTTAAAACTGCACTAATACACAAATACACACAAAAAAACACGCAAGTAGAACGCACGCTGCTAAGGTATAACAACACGAACAACAACACAAGACGCGTTGTGCGTTTGTGTGTGCGTGTGTGTAGGTGTGGTAACGAAAATACACACACACACAAACAAGATGAAAACTATAAACATACGTACTATATACACATTCATATGAATGAAAACTCACCTTTTTGTCTCGTATTATTGTTACAGCACTTAATATTTAGCTTTTTGTTAGTTTAGTTATTGTTGTTGGCCTTAGCAGTTTATAAATTTTATGTATTTTCGCATAAAATCTTAACTGCGACGCCTACGTCGACGACGACGCCCTTTTGTTTGGCTCACACACACACGCAAACAAACAAACACACAATGTGACACTCACTAACACCAAACCAGCAGCAGCGTTACACACCAAATTCGTATTAACTTCACTATTTTGCCTTTTTTCCACTCTGCTGTGATTATGATAGATATTCTTTTGATTTTTCACTTCTCACACCTTCTCGCGATTTTCTTGTTACGCTCTATACTGCGCGCATCACAAAACTTGTACACAATGTTTACTTGATTGAGCAAATGGTGGCGTTGCGAGTAAAATTAAATATCACGACTTATTTTATATTCCAGCGTATTGTGCTCAGAGATGCGTGCAAATAGATGAATAAATAAGCTGCACTTCTCAGCAAATATTTATGAAAACTACCGTGAGACGGCCCGTCTTCCGTGCGTACCGCTATGCAAATTGTTAATGGCGAAGAGCACCGCAATGTGGCCGTAGTTAATTATAAATAAATACTGCTGTCCGCCTCCAAAAATACTGAATTTGGTGCTGAAAAGTGTGCACACACAATTAGATGTAAAAAGAGTATCGATACATATACTAGTTGCTTGTATCGGTGTACCTACAATTGGTTTAAATAGCATATGTTTTTTGAAAAGCAGTTAACATAATAAGCAATTATTTCGACATGAATTCGCACACATAAAAAACACTAATGAGCTTTTTAAAATCAATCACATGTCACTTAAAAATACTGTTTGAAGCTAGAAATATTGTTTATGTCCTTGTATTTATAAAACACTATCTTTAAAAAGCACAATAATAAAATATTCATATATATGCGAATTTGTATTTTGAAAACTATGTATATAAAACAACTATTTGAGATGCCATGGTGGCGAATTGGCGGTAAAATCTAGCGGCGGGAACTGCCAACCTGCTTAAAATGAAACTGGTGGTGATAAAATTCATATTCGATTACATTGCAGCGTTATCGAAATGAGGCATGTTGACTACTCGCTACTCGATTCCGAGACTCACTCGTACAAAATAGCTTCGATGGTACGGACGTGTCGCTGTGCGTGTGTGTATTCGACATTTGGCTGAGAAAATACTTAATTATACAATAAAAATTGTTGTTGAATACACAACAAATTGCAATAATCATAGAAGTGCAGTGTGCCGTCGGCGAATCGCGATTACTTTAATCCCAATTAGTTAAATTACGTGAGTTTTGTATGCAGCGAATGCGCTAGAGCGAGTCAGCAAATCAGTGCCTATCATATGTGTTGAGCGGTGTGAAAGAGAAGCAGAAGAGAAAAATAAATTACTTGCTGTAAATGCGACGGCGAAAATGGCTTAAAGATGGCAACAAAAATGAAAAAAAATAAAATGCGGCGTGTGTGGTGCCTGAATAGTGAAATTTAAAACAAATGCAGAAATAATTACACAAAAGTTTATGAAATTGCCGCCCCAATATATGCACACATATATACACAAATATATGTGCATATGCATGTGAAAGAAAAGCAAAAAAAGAGGCTGCTGTCTGTGTTGTTCAATAAGAAGAAGCAGCAGTCGCCGTCAGTGTGAATGTGTGTGTGTGTGTCTGTGTTGTGCCACCGTCGTCGCATATAAAAAGCAGCTGAAAATTAAATAAAGAGAATATATACATACATATACATGTATGTATGTGTGTATATGTATAAAATAATAGAAGTGTGCAAGGTTTAAATAATAAATTATATGTGTGTGTTTTTTCTATTTCTTGCAGCACTAGAGTTAAATAATTTAACAACAACAACGAAGCATAGTTATAAATTAAAGTGAATAAAAGTGCAAGCCAGAGTGCATGGGTGTGTGTCTCTACATAAATTCTACATACATACATATGTACATAAATATAAAACCAACCAACTGCTGTGGATCTTTGTCGTCGTCTTATATTTGCATGTCTTCCTCATCCAACAACAACAACACATCCACGTTGTGTCGTGGCGCGTTTTATTCCATGTTCTTCTTTCTCTTTAATATTTTTCGGAATGCACAACAACAACAACTATAACACAACGAATGGAATAAATACTAAAGACTGTCGTGAAGTTTAAGGCGGTTGAAAAAAAAAACTGCACGTATTGCATATTAGTAGCGGCAACTAACGGTAAAGCCTCTGTAGCGGCAGCGCAGTGGCAGCGCAGTTGCTGAATGCGCGAAATGTGAGTACCAAAACCTTCAGTTATTGTTGTTTTAATATATGTATTCGCATTTCTTTTGGCTAAGCCTGACTTTTTTTTCCCACAAAACACAAGTCAGGCGAGAATACTTCTGAGGAAATAGATATTTCTGTGTAGGATTTTTTCATTGTTCGTATTTATAACACAACTTGCTTGTGCATTACGTGCGGTTAGTTTAACATCATAGCTCGTACAGAGAGCGGAAATGAAACATGCGGTTTTAAGCTGATAACTGTTGATAATGACGGAAGCTTATACATAGTCCATAGTTTGTTTATCTCTTTAGTATGCTTATATAACAGTGTGTACACTTTAAGTGTGTGATAAATTGTTGTTTATATGTGTAACATTTGACCTTCTCGTTGAATGCAATCGGCTTTTATATAGCGGTACATTATATACACACTTAACCCTTTTAGTGTACAGGGGCGACATTTGTCCCAAATGAAGATATCATTATTAGGCGAAGCTAAAATGCAAAAATGTTGTTTTTAAAACAACTTAATGAATAAATTTTAAGATAAAATCTATTAAATATTATAAATCCATTTGATGGCCTAAACGTACCGAAAATTAAAAAAAAACGAATACCCACCATTTACATATGTATCTCTTCTTTCGTCGACTTTCTAAAGAAAAACATTTTGCAATTCGCTTGAAATTTGAGATATTTTGCAATAAAATTGTCCATATACATACACACATACATACATATGTATGTACATACTTGTCCGACTGTTCAACTTTCAAAATCTGTGCAATACGCATTTGGCATACAAAAGAGCAGCTTTCCGGTCATTTACATTTTCTGCAAATATTCTTGTTTTTGTTGTTGTTAGAGGCCATCAAAAGTCGTGTAGTCTGTCAGGTTGAGACAAGGTGCTGCATGCAAAGACAAGAGTCGAATACAAAAAAGGAAAATCCAATTAAAAAGCAAAACAACACGCCAAAATTGTGGACAACAAACAAATGCTGTAAGACTTTTAACAGACTTTTGATTAAAAAAAAAAAATTGCAATTATAGCAACTAGTTGGACTTGGTTGGCAAGATCGGCACATAAACATGTACACATACATATGTATGTATGAACTAGACACACATGTGAGAGAACAACGAAGCGCAACAATAAACGAACAGAAAGTAGAGATGAGCAATAAAGACTTATTTCGGGGACAGCCACTCGATCAGATTTTTCTTATTAAATGCATATCTCTGTTATTTTATTAGAATACATACCTAAACTATATTGTCTTGGATGTATAATTCTGTATTATAGAATGTTGCTTTATGCTAGAACTAATAGGGTAATATGTTTTTAGCCATGATTGCCATGATGGATTGTTTTATTTTCAAAGTGTAGAGAACGAATTAGGTTAACGTAGCTTTGAGAGCAGTTTTATAGACTAAAAAATGTCTTGGGGTCTACAAAGTGGGATGGAAAATCATTATTGCTTTATTCAAATCGATTGATCGATTCCTTTCCTTTAAAAGTGTATTTTGGGATCAGTTTTAAAAAATAAAAACTGTATTGTCGTGCGATTAATAACTAATCACTTTCTTCGACTAGTAAATATGATTGAATTTGAAGATTATATGAGTTGAAGTAACAGCTTTTGACATTGGTTCGTTGTATTGCTTTTGCAAAATAAGTATGTATTATTGTCAATAATCTATTAATCATGCTGTTGTGCTTTTAAAAAAATAGCAGCTCCATCTCTAACAGTTCGATATGTTTCGATTCTCCTTTAAAAGTTGGTGCAGCTCTTTTGCTGTTGTAGCTGGAACAATTGTTGTAGTTAACATGCAACCCACGCAACATAGATACAGTTTTTTTTCCTTTTGGATATTGTTGATTAGTAAATATGTATGTATGTATGTATACCTTTGACTTGAGAATTCATTTCTCTTTCCATTTTGCTTTAGAGTTTTTTCGGCGGCTGCTGCTGCTATGTTGCACATTCCATGCCACAAAAATTGCCGAAAGAGAAATCCGTAAGAAGAAAAAAACTGCGCACTCACAAAGGCAGATAAGGCAGATACAAAAAAAATAATTGGAGAGGCAAAAACGTGGCAACTAAACAAAAATAAGTTCGGCTGTTGTTGTGGCTGCTGTTGTTACTTTGATTGTTGTTGTTGTTTTAGTTATTGAGGCGACTGCGGCAGACATGCCGCTGAGCTGGCAACGTTGTGGATACACACGAAAAAGCGAAGAAGAAGAAGAAGGAGGAGGCAAAATCAAGTAACAACGCTACAACAACAATGTTGCTGAGAGCGTGCCAAGCAAAAGCTGGTCCTTCCTCTATCTCTTCGTGTTTGGCTCCAACTTCATCTCATCGGAGAGCGTGTGTCTGAGAGAGTGTCTGCGTTTGTTTGCTAGTGCCTGTAGCGGCTGGCATGTTGTGTTTGTTGTGTTATCTTTTCTTGTGCATTGTTTTTGTGGTGCTGCGGCAACTACGCCCCCCGCTCCCGCACCACCCAACCCCATCTGCACGGTTGCTTGTCGCAAGTCGTTGCAGCTCACTGCACTCGTTGCCGCAGCGGCTCATCATCAACAACAACAACTACAACATATAAATATACATGCACACATACATACATATGTATGTATGTAAAATACCGTTGCCAAAGTTTATGGTGTTTAAGTAACTTTTTCTTTGCTTTATTGCGGTGTCTTCTTCCTGCTTCTGCGTGTTCATTGCGTTCCTGTCGGCAGTCCGCAGCTTAAAGCGTTCTCATAGATGCTTCAAATTGGAAAAAGTAGTTGGGTTTGTTTAAAAAAAAAAGAACCTAATAGTTGTATTTAACATATGCGCAAAACCTGATCTTCTATATATATGTAACGTATCCGGTTTCACGACCTATGCTTAGATTTAATCAGCAATTAGGCTTTACCGCTATTTGGAAACTGATTGTTTTTAAATTATATTCGAAGATTATATTTGATGAATAACCGGCTTATAAATGAAAATGAGTGTTCAGTCTTAAAGTCTCAGCCTTAAAGTGGAATCACATCACCGATATCCCAAATATTCTACTACTCCATAACATTGTTAAATTACATGTTTGTCTGCTAGTTATTTTAATTGCCACTTTTTATTATGATTTGTTATCTTTATTTACATATATAGAGTATACGAAATATAGTTTTTATTGTTGATAAATATTGACTAGCAGCAAATATCTCTTTGTCCGCTTGTTTTGGGCTCCTCGCAACGTGGACACTCTAGAGCATGTCTAGTAGTCGCAGTATTAGTAATTCTTATAATATCCCGATTGTTTTTATCAAATTAATCGAATGAAAAGACACTACAACTATTTTTAGCGACCAAATTATTGAAACGTTGAGAAAGCTCAACATTCATTTATAACGATTGCTAAAATTATAAAAAATAAATAAAAGTATTAGAATGTATCGAAATATAACATTTAACAATCTAAAAACCTTCACTTCGTACAGGTATTATCTGTAAATATCGAATTTGTGCTGCTTGAACTTAATAAGCTGCTCAAAAAAATTGTGAAACTCATTGAAGCGGAAACATATACAAATGAATATAGCTTAGTAATATATAGATTAGTTATAACAAAATTTAAACTGAGATCTAATCTAACGTAATCATTACATGGTCTTATAATTAAAGCATAATAACATAATATAGGCATAAATATTTCCCAAAATTCAACTGAGAATATCTGAAATATGTGTCAATAAAAATATAATAGACTTACTTACTTACTTGGAAACTACAAATTGAAGATTTGACCGAAACACTAACTGAAACCGCTGCTTTATAAATATTCTTCAAATAAAATTTCACCAATTTTCTATATTATTACATTACAAATTTTTTTTTATTTTAAATAACATTCGTTTTAAATTGGCTTTATTGTAGTCCTTCTGAATCATTTTCTAGTTTCTGTGAATGACTTTTATTTCATGGCGTTTCATATATCTCAGGCATATTGCCAGCCACATGGTTCCAATGTTGTGTATAACAAAATGTATCTGTTAGATACAAAAATAGTTGACTGGCTGACTGCATTTTGGAGGTCTGTTTAAGCGGAAAGAAGCAGAAACAATGCCATAAATACAGAAAATATTTTACATACACACACACACATGCACAATATATGAAAAAGTTAAACAAAAATAAATGGCCAACAAGAACAGCGAGAAACGATTTTACGAAATGCAATTGAATTTTCCACCTTGTGGAAGAGAGGATGGAGGGAGAAGATTGGGAATGGGGAATGGCAGCCAATTGAATTACAGCTGCCCTGTCTTACAAACATATGCATATATATTTATATATATTACATATACATACATACATATGTATTGCCTATTGCCTTGCCTTGTCTTGTCTTTGGCCTGCGTTGCTTAGCTCTGTAAAATGTTGTTGACTGTTTAGAACTTAAACTTAAATTTAGACACAGTTTGTGGGGAAGGCAGCGCAGTGGCGAGTGAGGGGGCAAGTAGTGTCGAGTAGAGTGGCGATTCTGTTGACTGCACGCAGCTAAAAAGTTCAAACGCAGCTGCTGCCTGAAAACGAAAATAAACCAAAAGGCCAAAACGGAATGAAAATGTAAAAAGGCATTTGTTATAGAGATATGCACACACATGCATACATACATACATACATATTTATATACGAACGAACAAACGATTTTCGAATGTTGCAGCAGCAGCAGCAACAAGAACGAGCAAACAACAACAACAACTACCACAGCAATGCCCAAAACAAGCATAGCAACAAATTCATGGCGAAGCCATTAAAACTCACATTGTTGTTGTTGTTGCTGCTGCGGCTGCTACTTTTAATTTTTTTTCGTTTTTTTCTATACATGTTTCGTCGCTGTCTTCGTCTTTGACTTTACACACATGCGTAAATTGTCTGTATGTGTGTATGTGTTTTTTATTATTTTTATTTTTTTGACAGTTGAATGAACTCGCTGAGCTATACAAACAACAACCACACAG